TGATTGGACAATTATTGGTTTTCAAAATATGTGCAGCGTGTAAAGCCCCTATCTCACATTCACGAATCTGAACACAAATCAACACGATTTTTCATTTTTTCTTAAATCGTGTTCGCAATTTCTTAAATCGTGTATGTGAGATAGGGGCTTAATACTAGAAGGCTTCACAACTGTCCAAATAAGTAACACAACATGGTACAAATACATGAGAGTGTGTAATATTCCAAAACTGTACATGCAAATGATCATTCCAATTCAGTATTTTGAGTTATTCATCATCAAGTTACCAAAGAGTTGTAGTAGCCCAAGTGCGTACAGCTGTTTTGGTGATTCTGAGATAGTATGGAATGGTATATAATATCAAAGTACATAGAGCTTATACTTTACGCAAAGAAAAACTTTGAGCACACCCCTATTTCTGAACCATGACAATCTCAAAAATCATAGCATGACCATAGGAGCTGGGCAATACCGATGTCATCGGATAGAACAAACATTTGACAACAAATACAGAAGATATTGGTGAGTTGTGATTGCAATTTACTGACAAAAACATCATGGTAACACAGGTACTGTTTTTGACCTGCAGGATTAAGTAAACGGGTTACGTTTGATATTTCATGTGAAAATGTTCCTTAAAGTCTCTACTTGACATCACACGTGAAACAGGTCAGTAGCGGGTATAACCGCCACGTGCCCGGATGACGCATTCCACACTATATCTCATGCCTCTAGTCAGACGTTGGATCTGTTGATGGGTCAACAACAACCACTCCTGATGCAATGCTGCTTCCAATTGGCGTCAATCTTGTACAGGAGAATCTCGTGCCTGTCTCCGCCGCCCCAGAATATCCCAAACATGTTCGAGGGGGTTCAAATCGGGGCTCATTGCTCGCCGGGGTAGAGTCGTTATTGCATTAGCCCTCATATAATCCACGACTGTCATCCATGTACTGAGGTCGAGTAGCAAGAGGGCGGTTGTCAAAATGAGGAACGACGACTGGCCTCAAAATGTCCCGGAGGTACTGAGCCCCTGTTAACTTGCCTCTTATGGTGGCCAAAACCAACCTGCAATCATGAGATACACCCCCAAACCATTACCGAGCCACCACCGTATGCAACAGTCGGTTTAATGTTTCTGGGGGTGTAGGTCGGTGCCTCCAAACTCTCGTTCTTCCATCAGTGACGTGGATCAGAAAGCGACTTTCGTCTGACCAATGGATCCGTCTCCAAGTTCTCAGGTTCCAGTTCTGTCGCGCAATACACCATGCTAAACGAGCAGCTTTGTGGTGATCTCTCAACAAAGGACGCTTTATGACTTGACTATCCCTCAGTCCTGCTGCTTTCAGCCGGTTCCTGACGGTTCTGGGGCTGACACGACAACTGGGCAACCACAGCTGTTTCAGACGAATACTTGTTAAAAAAGGTTCTCGGCGTATGCGACGAAGAAGATCTTCGCAATGTGTCGTCACAGGAGGTCCTCTGGGACGGTCCTGTACATCCCCGGTCTGAGCATGTTTCTCGACTTAACGGCTTACGACAGTGTGATGATACCTCAAATTCCGACCAATGGCATTGCAATACATTCCTGCGTTATGCTTGCCAATTATTTGCCATCTTGTGGCGTTTGATAATCGCCTTCGTGCAATGGTCACACAATGTCATGGAACAAACCGTTTAAAACCGAGCTTAAGAAAGCAATTTTAACGTTTGGATATACTGCTTTTAGAGATACTCGAGGGTAGCATGCTGTACGGACATACCACGCATGGCAAGTGAGCTTTCGTCATGCATGACTGATTACATCATCTCGAGAAAACATAATTCTTCCCGTAATTATTAAATCTTTAAAGACTGTTACAAATATCGGGACTAAACAATAATGAAATATATTTGGGTGTGCTTAATTTTTTTCTTTGTGTATATATACTGTATCCAGTATTATTTTGTTGACTCATCAGGAGCATTATTCATGATCATTGCCCAAGTATCTGCAACAGATATGCCAACGTGTAGTGACCCCACGAAAGTTAACAAAAGTAGAACGCTGAGAAAAAAACTTACAATTACAATCGGGCGGTCGGGTAGCCTAGTGGTTAAAGCGTTCGCTCGCCACGCCGAAGACCCGGGTTCGATTCCCATTTCTGGTGTCCCCCGCCGTGATATTGCTGAAGAATTGCTAAAAGCGGCGTAAAATCATACACACTCACTCAATCACAATCAGCCACTCGTTACTCGGCACATGAAACGATATGAGGCAGGGAACCCCACACCCGCCAATACATTGTAGAAAGTGAGTCAGTATAAGTCTCAATGCCCTTGGAAATGTTCCTACTCAAAACCAGAGAGTATATGCACAACACTGACGAAAAAAATAGAAAGCAAAATTGAATGTGTATTATAATTTGGATTCGAACACTACATCGTGTATCCATTCATCACATGGACGCATGTAAACATCTGCCTTTACTTCAATGAATTCCGTTTAAATGACTATCTTTGCAAACATTAGAAATGCAAGTACAACATGATCACATAACGAATATGGTCAGTGGGTCAGTGAGTTGGGTTTAACGCCGCTTTTAACAGTATTCCAGTTACATCACGGCGTGTCAGCTTAATGTGGGGGGAAAGCCCGAAGTGATGCAGGTCTCAGACGTTTACCACTTCGGTGAAATCCACGAGCACGGGTATGGTGCTGACTAACCTAGAAACGTAATCGGGGCGAACCGGGATTCGAACCCACAATCATAGGTTTCTGGCGGGCCAAGGGACGCAACCCTGCACGGCGAATCGCGGCGCTTAAGACGACTGGGCCACCCGTGCCCCTTAACGAATATGGGAATGCAAACAACTCATAATATTCGTTAATACATGAGGACTCTGATTCCAAATCTGACTGGAACAGAGCAAAAGGACCATCGATTTGCTGAAGCTGGGAACCATACATGACACTAGTGTACCCTACATATTGTACTCGCTGTCACGATACCGACGGGCACTGGGCAGACCAAGGACTGTGATCGTTATTTGAGTACCCTTCAGTTGAGGACGTGCTACCACATCAGCACCAACCGCCCTTGGTCATGTTGCCAGCCGCTTCACTGCATCCAGAAGACTGCATCACCTTGGTTTTCGGATCTACAGACAAAAGACAAAATAGTGATGAAAGAGCAGCTTCATATCGGCTTAGCTATGACCCAAGAGATAAGAAGTCAGAAGAAACGAAAGACCCGGAGATGTTTTCTGGCGTCGTCATGTAAAGTAACGATGGATGCTGTCGATGTATATACTAGTAAACAAGAGAGAGGAGGAACCTTTTGAATGTATTTTAGGGTGGGTTAAGTCAGTGCTCATGTTGCCATTGGTATAAATCACAAATTGAAGAATAGGAAACAAAATTGAACAAACCGTCTGTCCCAGGCAGCTGTCTTCCAAAAACATGATCATTCCATGTAAGCATCACTGCCACTGCCTTGATTGTTTGATCAAAGAACTTGGTATAAGTGACATATCAAACAAGGAATCGGCGTTATCACTATCCCTGCCATGAGGCTCATTAGAATTGTGTTTCTTCATATAGAAGTAAACATAAACCATAAACAAAGAGTCCTACAAAGCCTTAATAAGAGATAGAAACATGGCCCGCTTTATGTCATGAGAAAAAATTATGAAATGTGAAATTTATACACACAAAAGGTCCCTTCTCTGGAAAACAAACTCATGATATCTCTTAGATAAGCGTTCTTCAACCGCGAAGATCCGGGGTAGAATAGGTCTTCAGCAACCCATGCATGCCGTAAAAGGCGACTACGCGTGTCGTAAGAGGCGACTAACGGGATCGGGTGATCAGGCTCGCTGACGGTTGAAGAATGTCATCGATCCCAATTTCGTTGATCGATGCTCATGATGTCGATCACTGGATTGTCTGGTCCAGACTCGATTACTTACAGACCGCCGTCATATAGCTGGAATATTGCTGAGTGTGGCGTAAAACATCAAACCAACTTCAGTAATTTCTCATAAAACTTGTCACCATTGCACACACTATGCAGAAAGTGAAATGACTAGGGCCGTAAAAATTAATTTACGGTACCAATTTTCGAACTCCCACTTGACAAATATCTCGGAGATAAGTATGCAAACTTTCATTCATGTGACTTGACGAGAAACCCTTACAAAGATAATTTATATATATTGCTGGGTCCAGCAAATGCTCCACCAAATCCTTGTATCAAAGATTAAACATAGTCCTTAATACATGTAAGGAAGGATCTTCTATATATTCATAGAAAGAATTCGAGACAAAGTGGAAGGAAATCCATGTGGATTCTCCATAAAATTTGCTTGAATTTTTGCAATTTCAGAAAAGAACCAAGTTCAATTATGTTAAAACATTTGATTTTCATAAAATTACCCACCAAAGAAATGTGAAAAATGGGCGCCATGGTAACTATTTTTGGATGGGTAAACAAACAATTCCATTACATAATTCGGGAATCCATTTGCCTTCTTATCATAATTCCTCAATAAACTGATATTTATGTTGAAAACGTCATCAAATAATTTGTGTGGTTTTTTTTACATCAACAGGATTAGTATGCCTAGGATCGGGTGGTCAGACTGGCTGACTTGGTTGATGCATGTCATCGTATCCCAATTGCGTGGATCGGAGCTCATGATCACTGAAATGTCTGTTCCAGACTCGATTATTTACAGACCCCCGTCATATAGCTGGAATTTTTCTGAGTGCGGCACGCCCCCTCTAGATCCACGTATAATACTTTAAGATTTTTCTATCCGAAGACTGACTTACCTTTCATTTAACTGTTAAGTATTCACTGTCGACTATGCATGAACATGTGTATGGTCATTCGAAGTCAAGTCACAAACATGTATCCACGATCTGGTCACGGTACGAACTTGCTGGTACAACCGCACTCTTCAGTATATGCGAGATGTATGTAACTGTGTTAGGCCGACTAGTTTAATTACATGCAGTCCGTGATAGCACGACAATAACGACTACCTTCAGCAACTCATGATCATCAACTTGCAGGTTTCAGTGAGGTAGGTACAGTACCTGTACATTGCAGTGTATATATTATTTATTCAACTGTAATGTAGCCGTGGGTCTAGAAGAAAAGATTATAACACTTATCGTAGTATTAACACGTTATTCTACCCAAAATACTATGTGATTAGCAGAATCTCTGCACTTGTGTACAGCAGACTTAATTCAAAATGAACATATCGTTTTTATCAGTGTCCACAAAATCAGTAAATGATGGATTTTTGTGTCTCGGAAGGATTGCCGGGCGGCGTAAGGCATTAAATACTTGCTTTTTTGTGCAAATTGTGTAAATGGCGGGTGCTACCGGTAGGCAAGATCCGGGTTAGAATAGGTCCTCAGCAACCCATACCTTATTGTAAGAGACGACCAACGGGATCGGGTTGTCAAGCTCGCTCACGTGGTTGGGTATGTCATCGTATCCCAATTACGTAGATCGATGCACAAGATTGTCTGGTCCAGATTTGATTATTTACACACCGCCGTCATATGCCTGGAATACTTCTTAGTGTGTCGCTAAATAACAAACAAACAAACAAACAAACAAACAAACATATTTACCGTTTTCGCGAACACTGATTTTCAGTGGTCCATTCAAAGCTGTTATACCCTGTGTTACCCTAAATGGGATCTCTTTCGGCGGATTTCCAGACCAGTTATTCTCTTGCATAGACAATTCATATTTACAAATATTTTTTATTTATACAATATTATTATAATCGTATAAATTTTTGTTTCAGATCAAAATGCAAACTCTAAACACCCCCGATTACATTGTCATGGGAGTGATGCTCGCCTTATCATTCGGTATTGGGGTGTTCTTCGCTGTAAGGAGTAAGAACACAAGAGAAACCTATCTCATGGGGAACCGAGAGATGGGAGTCTTCTCCGTTGCCATCTCCATGTTCGTAACCTTGCAATCGGCAGTGTCCTTACTGGGCTACCCTTCGGAGATATACACGTACGGTACTATGGTCACGTACGTGTTCATTGGCCACAGTCTCTCCTACGTTGCCTGCGTCTATACATGTCTCCCGCTTCTATACCCGTTACGCATTGTCAGTATATATGAGGTGGGTACACTTTATGCTATACGAGATCAAACTAACCAGTAAAACCTATTCCAGGTTGCAATGGGCCCCCTTTAATGTATGCATGTATGTTTTGACTTAAGGGATCGGGGGATACGGGTGGCAAAGTCGTCTAAGGCGCCGCGTTTTGTTGCGTCCCTTGAGCTGGCCAGAAACCTATGATTGTGGGTTCGAATCCCGGTTCGCCCCGATGAAGTTTCAGAGCCATAACCATGCGTGTGGGTTTCATCGAAGTGGTAAACGTCTGAGACCAGCATCACTTCGGGCTTTCCTCCTACAATAAGCTGACACGCCCTGATGTAACTGGAATACTGTTAAAAGCGGCGTTAAACCCAACTCACTCACTCAGTGAATGGATCGGGTGGCCAATCAAGGGCACTTGTTTCTCTGGTTAAGATTCGATTATTTACATACGACCGTTATAGTGATGGAACAGTGCCGAGAGCAACGTTAGACAAGAAACATGAATAAGGTGCAGGGAAGATTCCAATTACCCCTGAATAATTAAGAAATAAACGTAAAGTGGGAGTTCTTTATCCTACAATAAACCATGAGGGGCGCAGGCCCGAGTGGTTTATTCTCCCGGCTGTGATTTATTGTGCGATAAACAAGACCACAAGTCGCGTATTTCTAACATGATATATCAACATTATTTACAGTCCCTTTGGGGATTATAATAAAATGTAAAAGCTTTAAAAATATTTACCCGTATTTTGATCATGGTGACTCCCTCAATAGACGCCCTCGGCAATGTCGGACAAAGTCCATTTTAAGCACAGGTGGGTATTTCCCTTCCGGTCACAATCCTCACGTTAATTACCTGGACCCTTTCTCTCAAGACCGATTGTCATGTCTCTCCCGCTTTTGGATGCGATCGTTCGGCCAACGCGTTTATCTGCATTGCCCAGCTACATCTATGGGGAACACCTCACTAAACACTTCCCTCTTAAAATAACTACGTCCAACACACGACGTCATCAAGTTGCGAGCGCATGTTCTAATTTCCAGAAATGACGTCTTATGTTTAATGTTAAGGTATCAACAGTTTGATGAATCGTTGGCTCTGACCTCAGGTAGGCCGGTGATCTGATACCACTCAATTATGGTTAAATAGCCAATTCCCTTCTACTGATTTACAAACATAAACTAGAAATAAGAGACCATTGACACAGCCTCATCTGTTGAATATTTAGAAAAATGCATAAATATTCAACTTTCCAGTCTTCAACTTTCCCTTCATGTCGAGCAATATTCTGACAGCTCCAGCCTTATGAGTTGCTGCTTTTTCCGATGTATCCTCAGAATACATTGTGTACAATACATAAAGGACTTGTTCATGTTAAACATCAGCCCAACTTTGTCAAAGTCAAAGTCTAAGATATTTATTGCATGTGAGGCATCCAGTCCATATACAAAGAAGTTACATATAAGTAGTTTTACATATTTGGATATATACTGATGTTTAACTATTCCTTTCTGAGAGAAATTGCATTTTTTACATACATAGTCAGTTTTGATATGACAGCATCATCTTTTGAAAAGAGAAGAGAAATTAAAGCAGATACAGGATAATTTGACAGATAGCGTTCTGGTTTAAACTTGTCTCTTAGATCAAAATAATAATGATATACAAAAGTAAAATGAATTTCATTTTCTATGGCCGAATGACATAATGGGCATAACCTCTTCGATTTTTCAGTGGACCTTTTTCTTCCTTCATTTATCATGAGATCTAACAATTCTAGCCTAAACTGAATTCGACGTCGATTGGTTCTTGATGTTAATGTAGATAAGTTATATTTTCTGGTTGAATAAGACTCGTAAAAGTTCTGTACAAGTCATACCTTGAACTGTTTTCTAAAGTGGAATGCCATTCTTGGTAAAACACATTTATAGATTGTTCACGTAATTGTTTCAAAAAGATTGTATTATCACCAACTGTTTAGTTTAACCATACAGACCCGCTTCACGGAAATGGGCCATTAGAAAACAAAAGGTTTCTTATATGTGATGCATATTATAAGCAAGTTTATGGATGCGGCGTTCATGCATTCCAAGATTATTATACCAGTATTTAAGGCATCTAATTTTGGTGCATGAACCAACAGATGAGAATATTTTACATGCTAAAAGATGTAGCTTTTTGAGGCAATCGTATCGTTGAAATACCCATACATCTGATACCATATAACAGTATTGGTTGGACTTGGGCATCAAATAATTTATAAAATATATTCGGTGTACAAGCTCCTACTTTCTGGGAGAGAGGCAATAATCAATAATCAAGGCCTTCTTTGGACGTGATGAAATGTATAATGATTCACAACATTTGCACATTTACCATCGAAAAACCATCTTTCATTCAGTGCCACCTCACCCCCGCCTTGAACACTGCTGGGAAGCAGAATTAAATGCCTTATTTGTTATGGGTTTGAGAAAATGGCATGGGGACATGGACCATAGAGATGAGTGATCGTTTAAGAGATGTAACCAAACTTTTGAAAGAAACTTTAGCTTTGTCTCACATGTGTATCATGATATGCGTACCTGTAAATTAATAAATTTAAAATGATTGTGTTATTCGGCAACAATCATTACAGGGAGTAACGCCCTGTCCCAGACTGGTTTACCTGCCCTAGAGCGCTTGCACTCCTCGCCTGCAGCCGCTAGGAGGCGAAGAGCAGCGTACCAGTTTAGCTCTATCCGACCTATATCCCCATACAGAATTTCGATGCGGTAAAACGTTGACCCATTTCCGTGAAGCGGGTCTGTCTGTTGAGAGGGGGGACAGGCATATCGTTATGCGGGAAACGTTGACCTATGTCCGCGTAGCGAGGTCGGCCTGTCGAGAGATTTGGGAGCAGGCCTGTATCATATCGCTATGAGGGGAACCTTGACCCAGTTTCCGTGTAGCGAGATATTAGCATTTTTTTAACAGTGTGAATAATTGACGTGTCAGTCTACTGGTGTAAACAAATTACCATTAGGGAGGTAACTCTCATGGAGAAGTATGGTTTATGGTTAAAAATAACAAACGCAATTGCAACGTTGTGAGATTAAATTTTGAGAATATCTCCATGTATCAATGTGCTGCCCTACTTCATTATAAAAGAATATTACAACATTGTACTTATTACTTTGAAAAGATTAATTATGAAAAATATTAATAACTTTACCACTGTAGATATTTCAATGTCAACAGTATCATGTATACCACTATGATTGTGTCAACTTGATACCCCATGTTCCTTGAAACAATAACAAATGTTTCAGGAAGTCATTTGTAAAACATATTACTTGTTTCGTTTTCTCCATTTATATTACACAAGTATTCAAACTAAAATGTGCCATTTTTTCACTCCTGATTCTTAAGGTACTACGTGCAAGTTATCTTCTGGGTTACACAGGTGCGCTTAATGACAGTATAGGTACCTGCATCAATACGTAGGAAACTACAAAGTTTCTTTGCGCCGTGTTGATCCTCTGGATCAACGTTATCTTGTCCTATACATGCCCCACTGTTTGTGTCATCTCCAGAGCTACTCAGGCTAACATATTAACATGAAATGAGGGACTACATATTATGGTTTATGGTAAATGCTGAGATAGTACGATCGTGTGTTAAAAGTAAAAGCTTATGTGTTAACAATGAAAGAAATGATGATAACGCTTGTCATGCTGCCTCTTACCACTTTCCTGTCTGTCTTTCCTCGGTGACAGATTGAAGTGAAAGCAACAAACCCTTCCCACAATCATATGTTAAAAACCATGTCTGTTGTACGATCCGACTATATCATAAATGTTTGTTTGTTATAATTCTAACGAAGCAATCAGCAATATTCTACCTATATGACGGCGGTCTGTAAATAATCGAGTCTGGACCAGGCAATCCAGTATTTGACATCATGAGCATCGATCTACGCAATTGGGATACGATGACATACATCAACCAGGTCAGCGAGCCTGATCACCCGATCCCGTTGGTCGCCTGTTAAGACAAGCATAAGCACATTTTAAAACCAGGTATGGGTTGTTGAAGTCATATTCTATCTCAAATCTTTACGGGTCTATATCACATGTGACCCAGAACGTACGATGTGTGCCTTTGAAGTAGATAATCTTACCAACACGTGCTACACGTAAGATTTATTGGCAACAGTAAGCATATCATTGTAGGAGACAAATAACATAACGTTTTCGATGATATTACGACGATTTTGATAGAATAAATAGCCTTTGACAAATAACAAATCTGTTCCGGTGGATAGTCGTTGACGTTTTATGCTTTTGCAATTGTTTGAAATGATCAAACTCCTACATATTCTGTTTAAAGTATCTTGGACGAAGATTCGATTCAGCTGCAGTGCGCATGTTCGGAACATTCCTTGGGATGATTCAAACGGTATGAATCTCAAACAGTGTCTTATGTTTGAAGCAGACTTATCCAAGTCAGAAATTGTACACGCGAATACCAATTCCAGCAATCATCAAAGTTTTTAAATTATTCTATCATGTGAGGGTGTTCGTCCCAATTCCATTGTTGCTGCCCATTGAACTAAGTTGGTTTTTGGAAAGTTCTACTTATTTAAGCTTGATTTTAATATCCATTTTATTAATTTTTCATGCCTTCTGTCACGACAACCTCATAAACCTTCCGTCGGAATTCCCGCCACATTATATTTCGGTGAAAACATAGTGCATATTTGCATTTTTTGTTGGAAAAGTTCAAATAAATATGTAGAGGGGAATGTCCGAGCAACTCTCCATTCCTTAAAAATAATGGAGCAGAGGCCCCGCAGGGGCCGAGGCCAATTATTTTTAAGGAATGGAGAGTTACGAGGATATTCCCCTACTTAAAACTCATCCCTACTTCTACACTTTGACAAAATATTCTGTGGTTGAAAATATTTGAAAAATTCAAATGCTGCTTCAAGATATTGTACAGTTGACAAGCAACTCTCCATTCCTGAAACATAATGGAGCATTCAAACAATAGAATGACGTCACAGATGTGTTTTAACTATAGCTACACGCTGCTACCAAGGCTTACAGACTTTCAGAGTAGAACTGTGTCTGTGGTCTTGTCAGTATCTCTCGGGTGTTGGTTCTTATCCAAACAGGAATGCCCATCACTATCTCCGAAAATCCACCATTCATCCTTCAACTTCAAGCTCACAAATTGGCCCAACTCGTCCCCGCCATTTTGTGTCTAAAATTCGAGGTGATTTGTATACTTTCATCATATTATATTGTGTATTCTAATCCTATAGATCTCTTATCTAGGTTTTATACATGACAGTGGCGTTATTCTCACCAGCTCTGGCTCTCCAAACATGTAAGTACCTAAATAGTCTGCCAAGAAGGCAGTTCGGTTGAAATGGAAGCATATTACAGTTGGTTTTCTATGGTGGCATCAATACCTGAATAAACGTAGTACAGGAGTGATACGGAAATTGGTGATAAAGATAATACTTGAAAACATTAACGACTTGAGTGATACATAGAATACTAAATAACACTTGCAAATCTGGAAACACACCAAACTGTGTATGTCCTTTTCGATTCCAATCTGTTCCTGCTGGTTACCATGGTACGTACTGATGGATCTTCTTTCCTTCTTCTCCAGCTGCAGGCATCCCCCTTTGGATGTCCATTGTGATTGTCGGACTCGTCGGAACAATCTACACATCCATTGTGGGTAATCATTGCACTACTGTGTGAAGACATCGTACATGGCTAGTCGCTTTGTTTAGTTATCATTAACCACAGATAATATAAATGTTTTAAACAATTTCTACAATAAGAAATTATATTTTCAGGTAACGATGCAATAAAACTGCAGATTATCTGTATATTATTTAATAACAACTATCGCGAATTTTGCTATATCTTCACTGGTACCTTCCCATAACTCAACCATTAGTCTCATTGGACATGGTGACAAAACAGGTTCATAAGAAATCATTTGGGAACTAATGGAGGTACCTGTACCATTTTGTGTTTGCTCATAGGACAAGGCTTTTTTCAAGGGAATAATATAAATCCTTTCACATTTCGTGAAACTTTGTATGTACTGATCTGGTACCTTTGATATTCTTGATATAAAAACAAATTATCTTTCTCATTCCCTTGGCAACAAGTTCAGATTAGGGTACTATTTTTCCTCTGGTATGACACCATTTTATTATTTCTCCTTGAAACTTTGCAAATATATTTTGCTGATAAGGATTGGTGCCTAACCTTTATAAAGGAACGGGAAGTATTTGAGGATGCGGGGATATCAATAGATCTGGATTATTGTGTCTTCACATTTATTACTTAAAGTATGCACTACGGAATTGGCATGTGACAGCATAATTTAATTTCATGCGTTTCACCGTAACATTGAACATGTATATATGAAGCAGATTAACTTCCTCTATAACTAATCTATCTGTGGAGCAAGTTTAGTATTCCCTTCCATGTTATTTCAGGGCGGCATAAAGAGCGTCGTGTGGACGGATGTACTGCAATCCGTGTTCATGTTTGGAGGCATGGTGGTAGTCATAGTGCTGGTGAGATAATAGTCGTGTTCATGTCTACATTCTATCACGTAATGTGTTTACTTAACGACGTTTCCTTTCATATGGTTAATACAAATTTGGAGCCAAGTTATAACATTGGTCACATCAGTTTCTGGAATTAATTATTATTACCCGTGTGTCTTTTTTTCTACCAGAGCATGGGCAGGATCGGAACTCTTCAGAAAGTTTGGGAAATCAACCATCAGGAAGGACGTGTACAGTTTGATGAGTGGGTAATTTGTTTGTGTGCAAAGATATAACAATATATAACTAATTGTAAGGGTTTGTTTGGGAGAAAAGAAAGGAAATTGCATCGGCAGTTTTTGCAATTAAACTGTGTGCTGATTGTCAGCTCACAAGCTCATTCACTCAATGAACACTACTTTTAATGAGAAAATGTAAACTTGTAACTAAATGCATGTTAAAATACACTAAATACACTCTTTGCAAAAAACGGCATCCTACGTATAACTTTATAATCGGGTAAGCAGGCACATTTAACTTGAATATTTATTATTAAAAAATATGAAACATTGGTGTACATGGTCACTAGGGCAGGGTTTCGAATGGGTGCATATACTGGTTGACTTTCATTCAGGTCAATATCACTAGAGCTAGGGTTTATTTTTTCATTTTGGCAAGTCAGTTGTTCACCTGAAAAATCCTCCACATGTCTACTCTAAAACGTTTTCGAAGCTTTTCAGAGGCATTGCATGTTTAAACCCTGATCAAACAACTTTTCAGCAAGAATCGCATGCCACTCTTTGATCTCTCATTGAAATCTGTTATCATTGAGGAGGTCCAGCATTTCACATTTTGTTCCATGAGGCTTCCTCTGCTCTCTCAATCTATCTTGACAATGCGTCATACCGTCATACTGTTCACCACGCCTACGACATGCACGGTGTCCTCCATCGGGAAACACTGCACACAAAATAGAAAATACCGTTTGGTTCCTTTGGGCCTTTGGTCAAAACGCCATCGTTTATGTGTTATGTATTATCACCTGAAGTCTCATCGAGAACAGGTCGCGATCCTCCCTTTGGGTGGTCGCATGCGGCCTACACGAACGTGGTCGATCTCCAACTTGTCCTGTTTGTTGTATACGTTGTTTTAAACGTGATATGGCACAGTGATAACTCTCCTTAACTCTCCTACACTTTGCCAAACCGCTTGTCTACCGATTTCTTCATGACACTGATATTCCGGCATTCAACGCTTAAAGCATTGCATGTTTAATTAACATTAATGCAATATTGCATTGGTTTCAGTTTATTATTGTGTCAAGTGATGACCATGCTCTAAAACGTGAACACATCAACGAATAAGCCTTTTGACTTGCGTCATTGTCACGTACGGGTGAATCGAGTTCTGAGTTTTTTCTGAGCCAGGGTCTGCAAGATGGTGTTGCAACCTTACTTAATCAATATTGCACCATGTCACATATAATGTTGCAGTGTGAACAGAAATTAGTGTGTTTTGCTAAAAAAATTAGTTCAATATATTTATCGTGGGAAGGTTTTGGAAAGGTTATTGTCATTATTGCATGTAATTCAAATTCCTTTGCAGTAAGTAATTCAATTAAGAGTGGCATTGCATATATTGAACAATCTAATGTTACATTGTTATCTATTCATAAATGCGCAGTCAGAATAGCTGAGGTGTCTTTTAGAACTTTTCAAAGTCTTAATCTGCTTGTGGATTGGATTGCAGTACAATTTCAGATTACACTCTACATCAGTGCCAGTGAGGAATGATTCTCCCACGAGTTTCATTCAAGTAAATGTCTCTGTAGGCTTAGCCCTGATCCCCGCGTTCGCCACACTGTTTGGGGACTCCTTCTGGGAGGTTTCTTCAACTGGTACATCAACATGTTCAACCAATCAACCATGCAGAGAATGTGCGCTATTCGGTCAATGAAAAGATCCAAAATGTAAGTGAATGTTGACAAGGCTTTTGTACATTTTGGGCGCCCCACATGTTGTTAACTGTTGCTTGTAAAAAGCCCTCCAACTGAACATGCCCATGCTCCTGCCACACATTGTTCTTTGCTTGGCCCTCTTACCTACAGTGCCTATGCTACTGCTCTAAAATCTGTTTTCAGAGCCCTCCTCCTCAACATACCCATGCTTCTGATATACTCTGTTCTGCTGGTGACCACAGGGCTGCAACTGGTCGCCTACTTCTTCACCACCCAGTGTGACCCGTATGAGGCTGGTTACATCACAAACAGGAACCAGGTACACCTTGATCCATCCTATTCTTACTTTGAATGAACGAGCGTCTCCAATGCACGACCCTTTCAACAATATTCCAATTCTATCGCAGTAGGTGACATTTCGAATGCACTTGGTGTAACGTTGTTGTAAATTGAACTCGAGCTACCGGCTTGACCAGACAAGGCTTTAACCACAAGACTATCCAACAGCCCTTTTATTCATCAAATATCAGGGTTCATTTTACGACCGTGTCGGCCGGAAGTCGCCGGGGTAGAATAGGTCTTCAGCAACCCATTATTGCCGTAAAAGGTGACTATGCTTGTCGTAAAAGGCGACTAACGGGATCGGGTGGTCAGGCTCGCTGACTTGGTTGATGCATGTCATCGATCCCCATTGCGTGGATCGTGATCGATCCCCATTGCGTGGATCGATGCTCATGATATTAATCACTGGATTGTCTGGTCCAGACTCGATTATTTACAGACCGCCGTCACATAGCTGGAATATTGCTGAGTACGGCGTTAAACAACAAACCAACCAACAAACGACCGTGTCATTATCGAGTGGAGTATTTCTTTCTGAATTTGTCTTTGTCATGTTTTAGAATGGTATTGTTAAGAGTGGTATTTTTTCCCGTCCAATATTCCAGCTATATATGACGGCGATCAATAAATAATCAGATAATCCAGCAGTGACTGATATTATAGGCATGGATTCACGCAGTTCGTTAACAATGTGACCTGTAATCAACCTAGTCACGTAGACCACTCGATCCATTTACCCACCTCTTACGAGGGGCATATGTTCTTAGGGATCTGTATTCTTACAATCTTTCGCATTGAGACAGATTAGTTGTAATTCCTCGTGGCTTTTTCTCTTGACATGTCATCCAGTAACGGTGTATAATAAATCAACGACGTCAATGTGTAGATGATGCCATACTATGTGTTGGACATCCTCGGCTCCTACCCTACCCTGGCCGGACTCTACATGTCTTCCCTGTTCAGTGGAGCGCTCAGGTAATGTCAGCGTAAGGGAATCTCTTGTTAGTTTGGTAAGTGGATCCTGCTGTTCACAAAACGACAGAAAGTCTGTAATACTGACAAGGGCTGCAGAAACTAATCTCATACTCACGTCTAACAACCCTGTCACCATCTTTTACTTCAAGATTCGCTTGAGAGGAGAAATTGTTTCCATTCATGGAATATAATCTCTAACAAACCAGAACATCCTCACATCTGAATATTCAAACCATACAAAGGTTGTGTACCGCTCTCTATTCTCGCAAGACACGGGTTTTCCCCGCCATCTATCATTCTAAAGGTTGAGAGGTTCATTTTATGGATATATATATTTATTATATAATGGGTAGGTTTCTCGGCAGGATAAAGCCAACGGATAAAAACGATATCCGTTGGGGTCATATGCGGATAGAGATGCAAATATCAAAGGTCAAGTAGGACTACTTTCACTGTTTATAAACATACATGGCGTCGCCCTCGTCATTCGGCGATCGAGTCAGAATTAACCATCGGGAATCTGGATAAACTACAGGGATAACTGCTATCATTATCAAAAGAACAGTCTAATATACTGAAAATCAGTGTCTAACTGTGACGTAGCTAATTTTAAGGCATTTCATAAGTTTGGCAACTTTGGAGATAAAAAATTTCAAAACAATTTTGCGAGGGCACGAGGCCTAGCCAAGCGGGATCAGTAGCCATATCTGCGCTCGTAGACCTCTGCGGCTTGATACCTTCGCCACAAATCAAAATAGTTGGATTTTGCCGAAATATGTTTGAATTGTTACCTTGTTTCGTTTTGTCGCTGTGTGTACATCTGACTACACTTCTTAACGATATGACAGGACAGACCGACTGTCAACAACGTCTGACCGTGGCCGTGACGTCTCATAGACTAGGGTTAGAGTAGCTTCCCTTTGACAAAGGGCAGTTACTTTAGCGGACAGACCGGTGGATTGCCGCGAAAGGCAATTAAAAACAATTGTTGTTTTGCGTATATGTTTGCTTCGCCACTGTATAAGAAACAGATTTCAGTTGGAACTATATTGGCTACTGTCACTGTCCGACTGACACATCACTTACATGTACCCTGTGACGTAATAAATATTAATGCGCGCATTCCAGGAAATCTCGCAATGTTTCGGTAATGTTTGTGAGAGAGGGAAAGCGGTTTTAAAGCACAGAATTAAAGAATGACATTATATGATAAAGAGGTTATCACGCTTGTGTGTTTGGGGATGGTAAATATCCTGTATTAGGAATAAACACTATGTATTTAGCTCGCCAAGGCTCGCTAAATACAATGTTTATTCCTAATGCAGGATACTTACCATCCCAAAACAAACTCGCGTGATAACCTCTATATATTCAAGCATGTTTTTCAAAATTTATTCCCATTTCAAAAATAAAACAGAATTATAAACTCGGGCGATGGGGGATTAAATTACATTTCCATCGCCATTGTCCGATTCCGACTATGCCATTGGCATGTGTTCGTGAAAAGGAGAATGCATCGTGTATAATGTAGACTGATGCATATTTGGGTAGGAAGGGCAAACACATTTCAAAGAATGATTGGAGCAGTGGTTCTATTTCATGTGCAGTTAACTGTTAGACATAAACCTCTCCGTAGTTCTCTGTCCTCTGGGATCAACGCTTTGGCGGCCAACACAGTGGAAGACGTCCTCGTAGTGCCATTACGTGGAGCTTCAGAAAGGACATGCACAATCGTTGCCAAATTGGCAGGTACTATTTAGCTTCAAAAATTTTGTTAAATGCTTTCTTACCAATACGCACGGTTAATATGAAAGAATAATTAGATACTCCAAGTCGACCGTTTGTGTACTTATCATAACACCGATATACACAAGGATTTTTTTACAGTGTTTTGTTTGTTTGTTACGTTGAAGACTAAAACATATATTTTTGGAAACAGATGACCTCCAATTTTTTAAACTTGACCATGATAAGAATTCGATAGTCATGACATTAACTGTTGATGGTAGTGATTCACAAATATATGATTGAATCGGTGTTTCTTTCCTGGTCTTCATCAGCATTTTGGGACAGTCATGCAAAACAGTGCGCTGATGATGAATCCACAACCGGTTTCAAAGTATGCCTCAATGACGACATTTGACTATCGAGGAAAGAGCTAGAGCTGTTAGATGGTTAATTGAGGGGATGAGGAAAGCTGCACACAGATTAAATGTTGGCTCATCTGTGATTTATTATAAGGGCCAGAGCAAGTCTAGACGTCCTTGAACCAGAAGAAGGAAACATCCGCTACCTTGCTGTCACTTGTGACAGAGATTAATGAGTTACTACAAGTCATTTGCGAAGAATGCTGAGAACTGCACCAGAACAAACATAAGCAAACGACCATTCAGAACCAGCTCAAAGAAAGGCCGATTCTGGTTCCATACCGTAGAGCTGCATGAGAAGCTTCACCAAGGCAACAACGTCAATGAACATGTGAACGGTTGTTTCTGTAGCATAATGATGATCGGATCCGGGTGTACAGACCTTGTGGTAAAAGTACGGCAAAGCAATCAATTTGGCAGTGGTGATGTTATGGTGTGGAGTGGATTTTCTTTCAGGCACAGATCATCCCTCTTTGTGATAATTGCAACATGAATACCGAATGAATACAAATATGAAATTCTTGAATCATTCGTTTTCTCTGTTACTGACTTGAGACAGAACAATATCACAAGGATGAAATGGAGTTCATATTCGCCAAACTTGGTGCCAATAAAACAACTCTGGTACCAACTCAGCAGACATGCCAGAGAGAATTCACAGATTGTAATCCGGAAAGGCGGAAGCTTTGGTTTGACATTTTATCATGAAACTCCAACCGCTCACATGAAACAAAATGGCGATCATGCAGCAGTGAAATTGTACTTCTTCTTAATTGCTATGAATTGTATCGATAAAACTATATGTTCCCTAATTGTATTTGAGTAGTAATGTACAGTGTGCTTTGAAGTTGCTGTGTGAGAGATTAAGTGGTTATGCACTAATTATACATCATTACAAAGCCTGTACACCACTGTTCCATCTTATTGTCAATGTTTCAGTTTGTTTTTATGGTGTCCTGACTATAGGACTGGCGTATCTGATTCGATCAGTCCCGGGGCCCGTAACACAGGTTGGTGCAACACAGCAAGAAAAAAACATAATGTGATGTTTAAATATTTACATAAAAAGTGAGCTGTCGTCTTCCTTGGCATCAAATTGGATCACACTTCCTGTTACATTTTGATATTAAGTACATTTCATTTACACCAAATCACTTCAGATTGTTTAAGAATGCAATCCTCACCCCCTTCCTACAGATGATACAGGCTTTTGAGGGTACGACTGGCGGTCCTTTGTTGGGTATGTTCTTCCTGGGTGCTGTTTTCCCAAAGGCAAACAAAGTGGTAAGAGGGTTCTAAATGATTCTCCTTGTTCACAGCTAAAACTGTGACGATGGTTCTCAATAAATATACGAGTAACGTGTGGTAGCTGGTATAGATTCCACATGAAGTCGATTTAGGCATGTAAATATATATTAGTAAATAACCAGTCACCATTATCCACTGAAACGTTATCTAATGGGCATAAAACAGCAGTGAAAATTATATGAATGGATCACTGAAAATCAGCGATGACTTTGTTTGCAAAACAATGAAATGAGTGAATGAGTATGGTTTTACGCAGCTTTGAGCAATATTCCAGCAATATCAGGGCGGGGGACACAGAAATGGGCTTTACACGTTGTACCGTTGTCGGGAGTCGAACCAAGGGTCTTCGGCATGACGAAGGAACGCTTTAACCACGAGGCTTCCCAACCGCCCCGCAAAACAATGGTAAATAATACATCTGACAAACATTGGTAATGTAGTACCAGATTTTGAAATGTTAGAGAGATGGATGTGTCAGTACCTTAATTCGTTTGTGATTTGTAGTGAAAGGAATATTGAATTTTAAGCTAAAATTGTAAGGGTTTCGTTTGTAGGGAGCTCTGTGTGGAGGTATATCAGCTCTAGTGGTCAATGTCTCAATCAGCATTCTACAAAATCTGTATGGGGTCAAGCCGACACCTTTACATTCCGCACCTTTAGATGCATGCACAGGAGAAGCAAATAGCACCATGGCATTCACAACCCCAAAGTTTCTGAATAAAACATTCCCGCAAAATGAAATTCAGAATTCGCTTCATGAAGGGTATGTGTATATTCACCTGTGATTCCAAATTAAAATTGTGTTTTATTTACCAGACATAGTGAAGAGAATGTTGACTCGTCAAAGTTCGATTACGTTTGTCAAACAGGTATTCAATAAGTAAATATACGTGGCAACCCTTTCTATGATCATATGAAATGTCCATTGTACGATTCTGACATCATTAGCATATGTTGATGTTCACAATCAAAGGGTGATAACAGCAGGAGTTTCCGAAAGAGAAAGCGTATCCTGTTCCACCGGTGCCATCCATCACAAACGCATGCAAAGGCAAATCAATTGTCCAACTAAAAAAACACGGGAACATGGTACAAGTTGAAATAGGGAACCGCATCGGACATCATGTTTGTCTCTTATGCGTCAAAATTGGAAATGTTATCCACGTCTACCATACAATGTTCTGAAAGCTTTACTAAGTCCTTAACTGTTGTTACAACTTTTGAACTAGAGCCAATATTGACGCTCTTTGAAATAGAAATAACATGCTCCATTGAACTCCTTTCTAGATGTCACCTACTGTGATATCGATTCATTGTATTTCCGGTTTTCTGACAACAGTTTGAAGCTCCACGTCCGTATAAAGCGAAATCCTTTGAAAAGTCAAAAGTCCATTTAGTCTCTTAACCTTCTTCTGTTTACGGGACATATAATGTTATTTCAGTTCCCCCCCAATATAGCTGCAGACAGGCAGGCATATGAAGAGTTCCAGGGAATGATTACAACGATCCCAGGATGAATAAATTAGGTTCATTACAACAGAATACTCTCTTATTACAAGTCGTTACATCCGATGGTGACATTAGGTCTTAAAGTTTACATGTCATGCAGTATCGTGTGCAGAAATGTAAATCCTAATATTTTAAACTTATAAACCTAGGCCATAATGGGCCCTAGTGTCCATTGTTTTAAAATGTGACTTGGCTAATCGTGCTTCAAGTCACTCTTTGCTGTGGTTCCACAGATTGTCTGCAGTGCCATTCTACCTATATGATGTGTCCTACATGTGGTACGGCTTCATTGGCTTCCTGGTGGCGCTGGTTGTTGGTGTGGTCACAAGTTGGATCACAGGCGAGTCTTACCAGTTTATATACATTTAATGAGTTGTGTTTAATGCCACTGCGTGCCAGCTTATTGTAAGTAGAAACAAATGAAGTGATGCTCTCTTTTGTGTTTAACTCTTTTGAGAAATCCATGAGCATGTATAAGATGCTGACCCACAACGAATCGTAACCAGGTCCAATCGGGTATTCAAACATGCGTTTTTTGGATCTTGTCACAGTTTTTAACTCCGAACAGCCAGTAGTCCAGTCTGACAACTTGTGCATACAGTGAACTCGAACAACAATGTATCGACATATATCTTTTAGCCCACCCGACTCACCTTTTCTCCGAAATGGCTTTATGGATTCAGCTGAAATGAGGTGGCGAAGTTTGTTACTAAGGGGATTAAAATAATTTAAGGCATCAGAATTGTTTTTTTAATGTGGCCTCCGGATAGTCATCTTTGATTATATTAAAATATATTATTTTAATGTTCTCCAAAACATAAACGGCCAAAAGTGTTTGATCAGAAAGCAAATATGGCTGCAGGTATAATGCTACTTAGTGTTCCTAAATTAACGCTGTTGTATGTCGGCACATCCACCTTTGTAAAACTACTGATAATTCGACATGTATTCAATGGTCAAAAGGGCTTCGAGATAACAATGTATCTGTGTCTGTCAATTTTCGTCTATTTTTCTAGATTGTTCAACACATTTGTTCACTGCATTTTTCAATTGGATTTGTTTATGAATCAATAAGAAGCAATGAGAGTTATAAAATAGTATAGAAATCTCACGTGTCTATTCCTACCAAGTACCTTGAAGTTGGTGTGTTTTAAAAAGCACCGGTGGGAATTATTAGGTACGAAAATAGCTCCCAGCTCCCAGCACCAAAACGTAGCGCCGACGTTAGTGCGAATTTGGTTATGAAGATGTGCAGCCTTGGTGATTGAAAGCCATAGTACCCAGGTGTCAAACGTGACTCATTCGATGACCAGACGAGGTCTGGCACAGGTTCTGTTATTCAGAGGCCTTCGTGTTATAGATGGGATGTAACTTCTGCGACTTTAAACAACGTTCACCAACTTGCAACGTAAGTCAGTTGGCCCTTGTTAATACAGATCCCCTTTAATATGACGATCCTTTCTTTACTACAGCGAGCCGATATCCTCAGACACAGGATCCACAACTCCTCTTCCCGTTTGCACGGCGACTGTGGAAACTGTCGGGTTCAAGCGGAATACAGTTGACAGCTCCTGACAATCAGCAGCACGGAGGCAGCATCAAGTCTGGGGTTACAACAAGCAACTGTCATATTTAGGACATCGACATTTTAACGAACGTCATTTAAATGATGCACACCCAACGAGAACATGAACGAGTGGTTCCTTGACGTTTCTGCCTTGCGTCACGTTTACCATTGTTCAGACACGATGTTTCTCTATTCTCTATGATTAATAATTTAGGGCCAACAGCCTTTTGCTGATACCTCTTAAATGGTTCGTGTCAATCTATCGCATGTCACATAAACTCTGAAAATGCAAATTTCATCTTGTTTCTTTGAGTGTTCCCATAACCTCTGACATTTGGGCTCAGACATTTGGGCACAGACAAATGTTGCAATTCAAAAGTTAAACCTTGTGTTGGTAGATTTATTTATATTATAAGCTATGTGTATAACGTATATTACAGTACAGTCACTTTCTCAGACAATAAAACAAAAGGCATTCTTATTGTGTAACCAGGGAGATTCATTTTTAGAAAGTTACCGCTATGCATAATGTTTGTTGAGAAGAGCTTGAGCGTAGTGGTAGCTGATGAATGGTAAGATGGTGGAATGGATAGATGACCAGATCAAAACCTATGTCAAGAGGTCAGTCTTGGTCACAAAACAACTGCAAATGTATTATAATGATCTTCGATTTGAAATTTCGCGAAATATGAACATAATGCCAACAGAGTGGCTTGGCCAAGGCATCATCAACAGCGGACACATGAACAGTAGTCAGCAGTCCCCCTCTCAGATGAGTCAGTTTCTTCCGTCTTCTTTAGTCTGGTGGTGGTAGTGTTCTGGTGTGGGGTGCATTTTTATTCAGGCACAGGTCTCCTCTCTATCAATCAATCATTGGCTACACCAATGCCCTTCGTTACATATACGAAATTCTTCAGGGGATTTCACCGGCTCAAAAGTTGTTTTCTAAGGAAACAATGTCCGTACTCATCCTTGTCGTGTCGTCACTGACTTCTTGAGAACAAAATCAGCGGATGGAATGGTCTGCATATCAGCCTAACATGGGACCGATAACGCAACTCTGGTACCAACTCGGCAGACAAATCAGAGAGAATTCATGGACAGAAGAGGCAGAATTTTCGGTTTGACAATTTGGTAATGTAATGTAAAAGATACAATCTTGCGAAGAGACGTAACAAGCCCTGGTTCGGTCCGCCATGAAACATACAGTCAGCCTAAAACTACTTTTCTAAAGAAGAAAACGATAGAAAACAAGATCAGTTGATACAAATAGGCATATAAACAACTTTTAAACACTAAATAATCAACAGAGAAAAAAGTTACATCCAGAATGAATAAATAAGTAATAGAATTCAAGATATTTTAAAAGATGAAAATTGTTTGACAGAAATGCAAGCTGGATTTCGTAAATTCTATTAACGACCGTTTATTTACATTCCACTGTTTAATCGATTTATTTAAAGCAGGAAGGAAAAAGTCGATTTGCTGTTTTATTGACTTTGACTTCAAAAAAGCACTTGGTAGTGTCTAGGGGAGGGAATTGTGGACTAAAATATTTGAACAGACAGTAGATGGTAAATGTTTACGACTTATGAAATCAATCGTGTTTCTGTACAGCGAACTGACTCTGCACAATTTCCCTCTATTAAAATTATCTTGAAAACTAGCAAATTTAGCAAATTATTATATTCGGACAAAATTGTGTGTTAGATCTTTCACTAAAACCAAAAAGGTTCTATTGAATAAGTAATTTCGCAGAATATTGTAAACTCTCGGAATTAACTTTAAATATACTAAAAACGAAAGGCTTATATTTGGTGAAAATACATATAATCTTAAATGACATGCTATTAGAATATATTGATGAACATAAATATCAGGGCATAATATTTTGTAGAACTAACTAACTAACTAACTAACTAACTAACTAACTAACTAACTAAAATCAAATTTATGCCAGCTGGCTACTAAGGTGATGTTTTGGGTTTTTTAATTTATCTAGAAGTCGAACTTATACTCTTCTGATCCAGTGTAAACCATGTCATGTTGATGCATTGTATGTGACACTTGAGGTTTATTTAACATAAAAAATAATAAAATGTACAGTTTAATGTTTTACAAGGAAAATATTGTATGTTAACATTCGGGTCAAGACTATTATTAAGTAAATCCTCAAAACTATCCTGGATTCTTTACTCTACTTTACTCAGATACTGTACACTGTTGTACAAATATGTTGGGTTTTTTTTAAATTATACAGGATTAAGCTGTGCATGGTTAGCACAATAATATATTTCTTCGTTGTGGCTTAACATCTCTGTCCACCGTATTCTAAATTGAATGGAATGCATATACAGTCAAGTCTTGTGCATCCGACGTGGTTGGTTGTATATGATTATGTCAGATAAACGGAAATAGGCATCAATCGTACATGTTGACGATAGATAAGAACCATGTGTGTACCTTGTAATAAAATCATTGAAAACGAAGTACATGTATTGATATTGTTTCGTTGTTTATTTATTCATTGCTTAATTTATGGATTATGGCATTGCAAAAATACATGTAATGTTTACATTTTAAGTAACAATAGAGACATTACTCACTGTGAATTCATCACATCAACAACACGTATTTAAAGTGCTGCTGTTTTGACGCAGCTGCTGTCTTTCAGTGTTTTCTGTTTCTTGGTCTTTGATGATACATTTCTCGTTCGCTCGATGCTGTGTCGCCGAACACGGTGTCGCCAACTGTTGATGATAATTTCTTGTTTTTCGTCTTTCCAAGCAAAGCTCACTTGACGTCTAGGGCTTGTGGTACTTCGGCATCAACGTTGTCCAGGTGTAGTTTCATTTGCTGTTTTTTTGTGATACAGCTTGAAGTTCTTTATCATTCCAATATCTAGCGGTGTTAGGTAGCAGAAAATGACATTTAACATTCGCCATGTCGACAGTAGCATGTCCAATAGCAATAGCAATACGTCCTTTTTCAACTTCAAATACAGGTTCAACTTACTCTATAATGAAATTGGAAATTTAAATTGTATTTCAACATTTTCTGGCAGTGATGCTAAGCGGGAGTCATCATTGGAGAGTTGGGGTTTCAGATCAAATGCTTGCTGAGAGACATATATTATTCATCTTCTTTCCTTACTCAGGCAGTTAGGAAATATCTTTAGGGATATATCTCAATATTTGAAGGATATCACCAAGAGATTAGATAACTTAGAGTAAAACCACTGCACAACACGTGTAGCAAAGACCGTCCTCACAACTCGTGTAGCAAAGACCGTCCACACAACACGTGTAGCAAAGACCGTCCACACAATACGTGTAGCAAAGACCGTCCACACAACACGTGTAGCAAAGACCGTCCACACAACACGTGTAGCAAAGAACGTCCACACAACACGTGTAGTAAAGACCGTCCACACAACACGTCTGCAAAGACCGTCCACACAACACGTGTACCAAAGACCGTCCACACATTACTTGCAGCAAAGACCGTCCACACAACACTTGTAGCAAAGACCGTCCACACAACACAACACGTCTGCAAAGACCGTCCACACTTTACGTGCAGCAAAGACCGTCCACACAACACTTGTAGCAAAGACCGTTCACACAACACGTGTAGCAAAGACCGTCCACACAACACTTGTAGCAAAGACCGTTCACACAACACGTGTAACAAAGACCGTCCACACAACACGTGTAGCAAAGACCGTCCACACAACACGTGTAGCAAAGACCGTCCACACAACACGTGTAGCAAAGACCGTCCACACAACACGTGCAGCAAAGACCGTCCACACAACACTTGTAGTAAAGACAGTTCACACAACACGTGTAGCAAAGACCGTCCACACAACACGTGTAGCAAAGACCGTCCACACAACACGTGTAACAAAGACCGTCCACACAACACGTGTAGCAAAGACCGTCCACACAACACGTGTAGCAAAGACCGTCCACACAACACGTGCAGCAAAGACCGTCCACACAACACTTGTAGCAAAGACAGTTCACACAATACTTGTAGTAAAGACCGTCCACACAACACGTGTAGCAAAGACCGTCCACACAACACGTGTAGCAAAGACCGTCCACACATTACTTGTAGCAAAGATCGTCCATATAACACGTGTAGCAAAGACAGTCAACACAATACTTGTAGCAAGGACCGTCCACACAACACGTGTACCAAATTTCCTCAGAGGGTGCCCTTGCACCAGCCTTTTATAACGTAAGCGTTAAATTGTCCTTCTCATGGATGTATTTATCACAGAAATCAGCGAGGTGAAATAAGTGCGACTGTACCTTCATCTCCAAATAACGTCTCGGGTTGGCGTACATACTTCAAGTGAGTGAGAACTGTCATACATCGCCATTCCAGCTATATGACGGCGCAACCCATGCGTGCCGGATGGTCAGGCTCGCTGACTTGGTTGATGCATGTCATCGATCTCAATTGCGTGGATCGATGCTCATGATGTCAGTCACTGGACTGTCTGGTCCAGACTCGATTATTTACAGACCGCCGTCATATAGCTGGAATATTGCTGAGTGCGGCGTTAAACAACAAACAAACTATATTACGGAGAGGGGAAATATAATTTGGCTTCTCACATTTTACCCATGTGGTGAATCACAAAGCCGGGCTTTGGGGGTTTTGAGCTTTAACCACTTGGCAAACCTACCGACCCTTTTACTTGTGAGTGAAACGAATAAAGGAATGTTGTGTGATGCTACAGAAAAGTGTCCAGCAGTTCAGCCAAGTTACATCATCTGACACAAATCTAATTCAGTTCCTCTTACCCAAAGGGATTCTTATACTTCTTGAACTGCAATGACGTCATCCACAAGTTTGAAACTGTACGTTATCCTTGTAGTTAGATTAAAGATATCAGGTCAAGTATATCCAACGTGTCAACATCAGACTAGCCCTAATATCATTACCACCTCTGCCAGGTCCTTCGTAAGGTCTATCTTCAAGGATTAAATTTGCCGATCCTGATCGTTAAAAAGTAGGCTATCGTCTTGATCAACAAATTGAAGGACTGTAGAAGGCGGACGTGTGTGCTTTGGCACACGAGCCGTTGTGATCGTAAAGGCGGAAAACATCGGCCGTGAAGACTTAAAACTGATAGTGCGTCCTTCTTCATCAAAGGGGAGTGATGGTTGATGATGTGGTCTGAGAAAAAAACAATAATAACGAGGGAGATCCTGTCCGCTTAAGTTTCTAGGTTGACAATAGAACACAATTTTTCAACAATGTATTGACACGCCGATCCGCTGAAACGCTTGTCAGCTTAACCAGGAGCTGCGGATTCTGGAGAAACGACCTGTCCAGGAATCGACAAGTGGGTCAAAGTGTCACCAGGAGGCGTCAGCACGTGACGAACACGAAGTAGAAGTGAATGTGAATGAGTGAATTTAATATAACGTCACATCGGCAATATTTCAGCCATATCGTGACGAGACAGTTATAATAAATATATTTAGATTGAATAAAAAGCTGTCAGTGATGGCAGTATAATGACTAGACTAGCTGAGCACTTTTAAAAGAATAACTTATCATTCAACAATACAAAATAAAAATGGGCTATAGAACACCAGCAACCCAAATTAGGCCACCACACCAGGGACCGCAAGGACTTACGATAATTCTGCTACCTGCATGGTCTTCACACATTTATTTTTTAAGTATTTAATGTGGGGAAGAAAGGTTAAATGATGATAAAAATATGGCTTCTGCTTCAACTTTAATAGGGGTGTTATCTTTTAATATCCAATTCCCTTCCACTGATTTACCCCCTGAAATGGAGGTGAAGGAGACCGCTGAGACCACCTCGTCTGTTTCGTATTCAGATCTATGCATGAAGTTTCTGAGTGACAAAACACTCTCCACAAGACTGTACGACAAGAGGGATGACTTCATGTCGAACAATATTCCAGCAGCTCCAGCCTTTGGTGTTTACATTTCACAACTTTTGAGATACAATCGAGGATGCCCTTTGCTAAGAAACAGTTTGATCAAGGTTACAACATCCAAGGCCTCAATGAAGCTTTCAAAAGGTTTTATGGTAGACACGTGGAGGACATTTCCAAATTTGAAGCAACAGTGACAAAAAATGATGGCTGATGCAATTACCTATTTTGACTTATACCACATGTTCCCATATTTTTTCAGGTGAAATGCCTTTGCATCTGTTAGTGACGGGTGCCATCGATGGGGCAGGATATGCTCACCTTTTCGTCTGGTATCATAACTATTGGATAGTGATTCATAAACACATGCTCATGATATAGTCGGAATCGTACAATTAACTCTGCATTATGCAGGGATTTCTATTGGATATGGAAAGTGTTTTGTTGCTTTATTTTATATTTAGTGTCTTTGTGAGGTTAATATTTCTAAAAACAGAAATATAGTTTGTTTAAGATTTTGAGAATTTAAATCTATTTTCTAAATACTATTTAAACACAATTGCAGTTGCCTTTCAATCAATAGTATCTATGTTTTCGCCACGAAAAGAAATATTAAAATCATCCACGAATAGAGATCCATCAATTGAATCATGTAAAACTTTTGATAAACTGTTAATCTTTATACAAAACAATGTGACAGACAAGATACTGCCCTATGGGACACCCTGATACTGATTATAATGATCAGCCAGGGTAGAACCCACGCGGACTTGAAATTGCCTGTCTTTTAACAATATGGATCTTGTCCACTATTTGTACATATATATAATTATTTATTGTAATATGCTCTTGTACCACCTTTTGTGGTTTTTCAGAATAAAGTGATTCTGATCCTGGATATAGACAGAGGCAAGTAGCCTCTTAACCCGAAATGTAGATCTTTTCAAATACTATGTATCCAGGTAGTGTCATATGCTTTGTCTAGATCGAAAAAGATAGACACTGCATGTTGTTTATTCATTATAACATATTTAACAAATGATTCTAAGCGACCGAAATGATTTATCTTACTTCTGATTTTCCGAAAACCAGATTGTATACTAGAAATTAAATTGTTAGTTTCTAAGTA